TATATATATATATATATAATTTTTATTGATTTGCTTTATAATAATAATAGATTGTCTATCATTCATATGAACAATCTGTATGTTAGAAAGATTATTTTTGAATTAAAATTAATTTCCATTTAATATTGATATTCTTGATTAAGATAAATATTTTTTTCAAATCACAAATATATTTTGTATTGAAGCATCTTATTCGAAGCTAAATTAACCATTATTAAATGAATGAAAATAAAAAAGAATAAATCGCTTTTATGAAACAGGCAGAGTAGTAGCCAAAGGTATCGGGGGTGGCATAAAGCACAAGTATCATTGGATCAAGTGGATCAGGGATGGACCTGAGGACCTAAACGAACCGCCAAAGGAAGAAAAAGTCCTAGAGGTCTTTAAGGATGGTTGTAGAACGAGTCTTGTCGCGTTGGTCGGTAGTAATCGTGAATTAAAATATATTTTAGCTACAGAAAACATGAAACCGGGCGACATAATACGTACTCATCGAGGAATACCGCGTAATCCTGTGAAACCCTCAGAGGGAGATGCCTATTCTCTTGGTGCTTTACCCATTGGAACTCTCATTCATTGTGTAGAAAAATATCCGGGATTGGGTGGGTTCCTAATTCACTCTGCGGGTACCGTCGGAACACTAATAAAGCGAGAGGAAGATCGTGTGATAGTACAGATGTCTAATAAGAAATTATTTAGTCTTCATGAGTCGTGTATGGCTACGGTTGGTCGATTATCGAATATCGAACACAATTTTATTCCAATTGGTAGCGCACAAAAAAATCGAGAATTGGGAAATCGCCCGAGGAGTGGTTTATGGCATCGCAAAACTGGTAGACTCGGTCGTAAAATTAAACCACCACCTCGTGTACAACATATTGGTAAAAAATCAGCACCATATGATGTGCTTGTTTTGAATAGTCATCACAACGCTTAAACTAGATATCTCAGATAAATTGCAGTTAAGATATATAATAAATGCTCGTTTCAAACATTCAACTTTGAATTTTATTGTCTTCGTTACCCTTTCTCACTCAACAAGAAAAAAATATTTAGACATTTCTTAAATTCTAAGATATTCATTATACATACATAGGTTCGTTATACATACATAGGTCGAAAAATGAAAGATATGTATGTATTTGGACATATATCCAGGCTAAGAGACTCGTTTCTGAATCGTAAGCAGACTGTTTACTACCTAAGAAATCTAAAAATCTAGGAAGATTTGTTATTCGAGAAGATTAAAATATTTTATCATAATTCAAAAAATTTCTGTGTAAAGAATTTAAGAAAAAATTTTATATGAAAGTTTGAATAAGAAAGATTAAATGCATTTTTAATAATTCTTTTTTTTTCAAGATTTGACTAGATATTCCGATATAATCAAGTTTTTGCAAATTTTTATCTCGTGGTCACACATGAAATGAAACATACGTGAATATTGATATTTATGGAAGTATAAGTACCAACAAGTATAAATATCAAGAACGAATCACTTATGAATCGTTGGAAGTCCATGGTAGTATATGCTTTCGAATGTTCAGTTCGGGAATGTATGTACCTGAGTTTCAATAATAGGCTATGTTCTTGGAATGATAAAAATTCAAGAACTATATGATTCTTGCCACGTTTAAAGACCCTTATTGTAATATACAGTCTCCAGATTAGTATCGTGCAATCGTACTTTCTCTCGTATATCAGGTTCCAATTGATTTATTGAAATAGGGACGCGCTGTGCGAAGAGAGCACAGCAAAGCGGCGTTGCAAATGTGAGACACACTCCGCAAATTAAAACTTGAATTGGTCCGGCAGCCCATTTCGCATTACGTAACAGCTGTCTTCGATCTAGGTAATTCATTACTATTGGCGCTAATACTGTAACAATAAAATAAAATGCTATCCATTCGTATCTTTATATACAATATGATATTTATATCGATTTCAATTGATTATTTTAAAAAAGAAATGTACGTTTTTTAGAAAAAAATATAGAATTATTTAAATAATCAATATAATAATAATAGTTATATATATTTATATAACTTTTATTCATGAATGATTGCCATTTTATATCCATAATAATATAAAAATAGAAAGACATAATGTCGTTAAAATTATTGTTAATTGATGTTAGCGTAATTGGCACTTATTATCAGTAATAAACTCGGTTAGAAATTTGATTAATAAAATATTATAAAAAGTAAATGCAACGAAACCTACTCATACTCGGAGAGGCCATAAGTATTCGCGATAATGTCACAGTTGCTATTGCCTGTTTAGCTGCTCGTTTACTATGGCCGACTTTCGTGCCGTCCTCGGTTTGTAATTCAATACCATTTTGAAGTTCAGTGACTCTCATAAGAGGGATGTTCACACAATTAGCTGCCGCAACTGCCGCCAGTGGCACTAATCGGCCTGCCAACGGTGGTCCACGTTGAGCGAGACGGTTCAGAGTCAATGCCGTTATCACGGCGCCTCCCGTAGCGCCGATATAACTCCGCGCTAATGTTTCCGTTGGAATCGGACTTGATCCACTACGGTTCGTATAATTTACTATGGCATTGAATGACTGATTGACCCATTGCCAGAAAATTACCGCCGGCGTTGATCTACAAGATAATGCATTGATAATAACGCATTTTTATATAACTATTAAACAGGTAGATTTACACAATCTCTTTAACAATAATTTCTTAAATGATAAATGATTTCCTGAATGTTTTTTGAATGATTCTAAATTTTATGTTGTTTAAGATCGAGAAATAATTATATTTGATAATTAATTATTCTTTTGTTTATTTATTTGCTTCTGTTTAAAACTTTGAACGTTCGTCGAAAGATATAATTATCAAAATTGTATTATTGTATTCTAACATTACTCTAACAGAGGTACAATTGTATCTAACACTGTTTTAATGTGTCTTAACGAGGCATTTAGAATCATGATATTTGAATGTTGTTATCGTAATAAGTTTTATCGTAATAAGTTTTATCGTAATAAGTTTTCGTGTGATAATTTCGATTACGTACTTGTAAAATGTCATCATACAGCCGGTTATCATCATATTCATGGGAACTTGCGCGCTCATACGGCCTATTAACAGCATTTTCTCGCCGGTATCAGGGTGGTAGGCGCTATCGTAAAGATATTTGCATCTCCATAATTCGTTTTCGGTGACTCCTTGTTTTTCTAAGACCTCACCCTGTCTATAATAGGGTAATATCAAGATTACATACAGATGATCGATTTCATATATATTTAACAGTAACAAACAAATGTGTTACATTAATATAAAAGAAAATATAAAAAAATGATTTATAACATGTAAATTAAAGATGTATGACTTGTACTAGAATTATTCGTTGCGATATTTTTTGCGAACATGCGATAAGTAAGTTCTGCAGTAAATGAAATTCCAACTCAAACAAAATGCGTAAACAAAATGCCATTGCAACATAACAGTCTAACACATATTCTCTACGTGTGTAGCAAAACATATGACGTCATCGTGTTGATTATGCGAAATCCCAACTGAGCGGATAGGAAAGAAAACTAATTATAGCTACGACTACCTGTATTTCGTGACAACATCACGCGCGTGTTCAAGTTGCTGGCTCGTGGCGAAGACATTAAGCGGATTTGTTACCGTCAAAAAGTGCAATGCCCTTCCGCGGTAAGTGCTCTGATCCCAGTACGGTTTATCAATGTCTATTTCCTTCGGCGCTCCGATTCTTCCAAACATCTTTTCAGGTTTTCCTCCTAGCGTCTGTGGGCTTGGTTGGCTATATCCTCTCTTCCTCACCTACGTTCCCCGGTTCACCTATTCTTTCCCACTTTGCTATCACGACGACGTGTCAGTGAATCGTCGTCGTGTTTTCGTCACACCTGTACATCTGCTGAGAATTCGTCAGCCTCCAGAGAAAACGGCATACGTGACGTTTTACAACCGTTCACAAGACAGGCTGATCACTCAGCTCCCAGCCGACTGACCCGCTCCAGAGTCCAGTCACTGAGTCTCCTCTCTCTTTTTCTCTACCATGCTCCGCTTCCACACGCTCGGTGCCGTTTCTTCCTCTTCTCTCCCCTTCGATCCATGAACCATGTCGCTGGTGGCTTTGCCTTTGCCGACTCTCATCGATAAGGCTTGGTGCGTGCGCACAAACCGTCCAGCAGTATCTACGTTTGGCGGATTTACCACGAGATGGTGGCACGCGGAAAGTTTCTTCATGTTAATTGATACAAATTTATTAATGTAATTAAAAATATTAATATTAATTTTAACAGACATTAGACGCGAGAAAAACTGAATTATACTTAATAAATTTGATAAAATAGTATGTTTATAAAAAGTAGTAGTTATAAAAAGAAAAAATGAAGACAAAATAATTATAATGATTAATCTGCAAATATTATCTTACTGGCGTTACATTGATATTATATTTCAAACGATGATTCAGTAAATTCCAATATTAAGTGAAAGAGGAATGTAGTTTATATTGTCAAACAAAATGTTTATTATGACTAGAGAGAGAAGAATAGTAATAATAAAGTAACATGTTGACTGTACATTTGTAACGAGCATCTGAAGATGGCTCAATGAAGACGCCGAAATATGTAATACATATTTTATACATTTTTATACATTTAATATATTATATTATAGAGCTTATATACATGCTTAATTATGTTGATTGTTATGTGCCCTTCACATCTCTGTATTGTTTTTTAATAATAAAATACTCTCATTACTTTAATTATAATCATTTAATGTCTCCTTTAAAATATAACGTTTAAAAGACGAAGTTGACAGATATCTAACAAAATTAACTTTATTATATTGGAAGTATTTTTATAGATATTTCTATATTTCTATATTTTGAAAAGACAGAATTTTTATTTATATGAGCTTATCATTTTTTTATATACCATACAAACGTACACATTTACATCGATAATATTATATCTCAAGAATCTACTTTTATAGATCAAAATTATTGTACTTTTATTATATAGCAGATATTACATTTAAATATTATGCAATATCTAAATAGATATCGTATAAAATAAATGAACACATTGCCATTGTGATTTAATGTGCTTGCATTTTTAATTATTTAATTGTCAAATGAGTTTTCTGGGACAAAAAAATTCATTTACAAGATAATACTGTTAAGTGGACTTACTAATTAAAGACTTACTAATTAAACACATACTCGTTATAATAAAGAAACTTTTTACTGCTATGAGTATAATCCTTTTAGTTAGCATAATAGAATTATGGTTCTATTAAATATATGAACATATATTTCATACATTACGAGGCAACGGTATTAAAATGTTATTTCCTAATCTAATCGACCATTAATAATATAAATAATTAATAATTAAGTTTACGTAGCATTCATTTTATACGTAGCATTATGATATCAGTATACAATATAATTATTAGTTTAATAAGGATTGTTTTTCTTTTTTATGAGAAATTTATAAGCACTTTATGTCAGAGTTTAACACAGTCTTTTAATAATATGAAAAGTAGTGTTCTACTTTTATTATAATTATATAGTAAGATTAATGATATCTAATTTTAATGACATTAATCTTAACTTATACATATGTCAACAATTTTATGAATGACATATTACAAATAACAGCTCTTAGAATAAATTAATATTTACTTTTCTTTCTATTTACGTAATTCTAAAAATTATCGGAGCATTTATAAAAAATGCTTGTATGCAACTATCTACTTTATATATAAATATCCTAATATAATATCCTAATATCCTAATATATCCTATTTTACATGTATTTTCTACCCATGATCAACAATAGACTCGATAATAAATATTCCAATCTTATAATACTTATTCGAAAAATTAAATACTATATGTAAATATTTTACATTGATCTTAAAATCAATATTTCGCATTGAGGAACAAAAAAAAGAATTTATGTCAAATCCAACTAAAAATGAGTAAAGCATAAAGAGATCAAATGCACAATATTTTAAATTATATAGAATTATATATATCCAACTATTATCATGCAAATTTGATATTGATACGATAGTTATGTTTCACCACTTATTAGTGAGGATACTGTGTCAATCCTTGATGTCAATAGCTAAATTATACGACCTTATATTATTATTTGATATTTTTGATGTTATATGTGTCAACGTGATCATTCACTAGAAATCTTATTTCTAGAAATCTTATTAAGTATTATATGATTATGATTTGATATAATTTTAATGCGCAATTTAAATTTTCCTCTTGTTTTTAACTCAATTATTTGATATTACTTTGGTCTGATATGTTTATTTTAACTCATTATCCTAAGATTATTTGCACATTAATTGTGACACAATAATTGTGAGCCAACAAGTTTTTATTAGTACGCTGTGTATATTTGATTAAACTCATATATTTGATTGACATTTAATTATCATTTTTAATATATAATACGGTAACAGTTTTAACTTGTTGACATTTAATTATTATTTTTTAATTAAAAAATAACTAATTTCTGTTAAAAACTGTATCAGATGTGATTGTGAGTGATGTTTTATTTTTTAGCGAAATGATCTGCGGGATAAAAATTGTACCGTTGAATCATATAATCCTATCAGCATTAATTAAATGCGATGACCGCAATCAAATCGCAATTTCAATGGCCGAAATGCCAAAAAACTTATAAAATTTTGCTAAATTTGTATTTATATTATCGCGATATTCTTAATGGGAGTTATAAATTTTTATGATGTTAATTTTAATTGAGACACACACACACACACACACACACACACACACACACACACACACAACATATATGTGTAAAATGTATATCAAGGCGCATCATCTAATCGTGCATAGCTTGCATTCCAAACTAAAAGATAAATCTATTAATTTTCCCATAGCAAAATACAATTTAATGTCCGCAAGGTTTTAATTTAATTAATATGTCATGTGCAATTTTCTGTGAAATGGAATGCAGAACGAATGTGCATCAATATTTTATGAGAAATATAAATATTAAGAAAAGATATTCATTATTAGATGAGTGTAACATCTGACAGAATAAATAATTAATTTGTCTTACAAAACTATTCCACATATTTATTTTTATTATATTTCACAGTGGTTTGTTAGAGAATTTATTCTTATTCTATCAACGAGAAATTTGAGAAAACACTTGCTGAAAGATATAATGTTGAAGCGTTAATAGCTCACTAGACGATAATTTACGAAACAATGTTTAGTTAGCATCGGATAAATTAGATATAATCATCCGCTAATACTTGTTTTTTTCTGTGTCACATTTCATACCAGGATGATAATAATAGAGATGCACTACTAGCCTACTTACATGTTTGAGTATGGGACCGAAAATAAAATGTACGAAGATGGAAAGGAAATATAGAGATTGTGGAAGGTTACAAAAGTGCACATTCACTATGATATCAAGATATTTATTTGTGGGTGCATATCGCGTTATTTTTGTTTTATATAAGTATCATCTCATGCGAAACATAATAAGTTTTTCTACGTGTACATTCCATGAAGATTCAACTTTGTATTGAAATGAACCAGTTACTGATAAAAATATTTCAACATATATAAGTATCTTATATATAAGTATCTTCGTAATTAAAGTAAATTAAAATAAAGTCATAATAATTTACCGTTAAAATTTTTGAAGCATAGTACTTTTCAATCAGATTTAACCTCCGTTAAATTTTATTAAGATATGACATGGGATTATTCTGCCATGAAAATACTTTTTTTCATATGAAAATTTAAGAATGCAAATTCTTAATTTATAATAAAAAAAACATAGTGTTACTTGAATTTGAAAGATATCAATTATTTATATACAATGTAGCATAAATACATTTTTTTTACTTTTATGTAAAAGAAAATGGGGGAATTGCAAAATACGAGGTAAATACGAACGAATTATTGCAGTATATTAGAGTACACATCTCTATTTCATTTTTCACATTCAGTTATACATGATAAATCAATATATGTTTAATGTCACACCATAATGATGTATAGAACGCACACTGTTTATAGTAAATGCCATTACATGTTTTTAATAATTTTGATGTAGGACAGAGTAGGGAAATTTGCGAATACTTAAAGGAAAATTTAAATAAAGCCGATGCTTATTTATCAATTATAGAAATCTTTATTCAAAAGATATAAAGAAAACAAAATGGATTCGGCATTGTCTCATGTAGCAGTGGGTAATTCCGAATTGCAAAGATTTCATTTTTCTGTTTAAAATTATAGTTTATATTATAATTTATAATATATGAATGCTAATTATTGTAGTTTAAAGTCAAATAATTAGAATATCTTTTGAATTCTAATTGATAAATAATCGCTGACTTTATTTAACTTTTTCCTTAGGTGTTCGCAGTTTCCTACTTTACTTATCTCTTTTGATTTTTATTTTCTTTTACTTCATTTTCTTTTACTTCATTTTTGTACTGTGAATGTTAATTTGTTGATATCAATATCTGTCTGACTTCTCGTATCACTTTTATCTATTATCGCGAATAACTATTACACTTGTGATTGTTGACAGCAATTTGCTCTATTTGATAATATATGATCTTGACACGATAACATCAGACACAGGATAATACATAATACCCTTCTCTTCGTAATCAAATATAGCTTTATGAACGTGTAGTTTTATTGGTAATTAAACTACATGCAGTAAGTCGCATTTATATTGCGTGCTAGAATTCAATATTATTTACTCGAGAAAAGAAACGTTATCATAGTGCTCTTATTTCTCTAATTCTATTACAAAAGTCATTTTATTATGTATTTACAATCTTGGTTGATTTATTTTGATCATAAGCACTAATACATGCAGCAAAAATAAATTTCGCGCACTTTACAAGAATTTCTTTACAAGAGTTTCTAAGCAGCTGCAATTATGTCTCTTTATATTCATATCTTAGAAAAATATTTTCTATGAGACTGTGGCATAGTTTCTATTTCAATAATTACGATACCATGATACCAAATAATAAAAAGCAAACGATTCCAATTTTGTTGTTATGAATATTAATAAACGGATCCAAACAGTTTGACCAGATATTACCAAATTTATATTTACGCTATTTTTCCTACATAAGAAATCACAAACTTACGATGAGTATCATTTGACTTCTATTTTTAATCCGTATATTATATTCCGTATATTATTTAATGTTATTTATTGTAGGTAAGACGTTATTTTGAAAGAAATCAAGAGCTAATTGTTGAGCGATCAAATATTTTGATTTTATCTTTGAAAATGATTTAATCGATGATGATAGTTGTGAAATGGTGATTGATTGCATAAATATGAATCGAAAGTATAGATGATTTTATTTCCATATTTGTAAGAGTTTGATGGAAGATATGGATAAACGCCGACTTCTAGTTTGTTTATTTAAAAGAAATATATGTTTCAGAGCAAATAATTTCAAACAATAATTAATTTTATTAAATTCATAGGATAAGAAGAGAAAGGAATAGTGTTCAAAAAGAGAGATTATTCATGGTGATTAAATTTTGGAAATATATAACAATAACACATTAAAAAATAAATCTATTTAGTCCAATTAATAATGGGATGTTATTATATGGCTTGCGAATATAAATAGTCGTAAAAATAGATTTTTATTCAAAATAGATTAAACATGGAAGCGAAAAATATGTATCTTGATTTCTGATTCGACTGTGAGAACTCGAGAACTCGGAGAAAATGTGCATCTTCTGTTTATATTGTGCGATTATTGTGCATGACGATTTGTGGTTTACAAATGTTGATGACAGTCAAAGGCCTTAATCGATGCTCTTCTGGGTTAATTTGAAATATTCCTCTAGTCATGAATTAGCCACTGTATATGACTTCAAATAGTGTTTATTTCACGTGAATTAATGAGTTGAACATAAATTCATTAAAATGATACGTGACACACAGTATGAGATATCACTAGTTATATTTGCAATATAATTCTCGTCCGATTAAAAATTTTTTGTTACGAAATTTAGTTTATAAAAATATTTTTTTCGTGAAAATATGTAAAAGCGATTTTATATTTATAAATATTCTATTTTTATATAAATTAATTTTTTATCAATGTTTTTAACAATTATTTTACATTGTTTAAAATGTTTCTTAGATATTAAAACAATACATTTTATTCGATCAAAAATGTATAGATATTTAGCAATATTATTTATGTGACATGTGTCTGCCATTGTTTATATAACTGTGCATATAATAATCTTTATGAAATAGGCCGTAAATGTCACAAAGTAACCATAACTAACTAAGACATTAAGATAAATCTCGCAAGTTCAGGATGAATATTAACGATTGGTCGCGGCTTTTAACATATAATAAAATAAATTGTTTGTAACATTATTGTAAATGTGCACCAGCAACAAGATTAATGTTTGTGAATTTTCGTGCTTGTTTCATGCTTGTGTTTACCTTTTTTTATTCACTTTTATCAGATCTTGATTATATTATAAGATTGTCGAAGTGATTTATTGACAATACTAAAATAAACAATTTACTTATATAATCGCAGAATCTCTGTTTGCAAACAGAGACATATTTGAGGAAATTGAATATATTATTTATTTTTAAAAAGACATAAATTACGGATATACATATATTGTATAAAATTGTGTTAATAATATATTTTGAGTTGCAAATTTCTGTTTGCATTCTATCGCAAAGACATATAACGCTATCATTAATCTTTACTAAAATAATTAGTTCCTAGAGGATTATATTTGAATAAAAAACATGTTTTCTTTAAGAAATATTTTTCTAATCTCTCATATCTTTTTTAAAACAAACGACAAATTCACATTCCATATAGTGTACGCTTATAAATTTTCAATCACTAGACTTCAATTAACAAAGCATTCGATCTGTGATTAATGACGTTAAAAAAGATACTGATCTTCTCGCAGACAGTTTCTTGCACCTCTCTCTAGAATTTCTTTTTCAAACGAGAATGTGTAACAAACTCGAATTGAGATCGGTAATCGGTTGCTGCGATATTACCACTTCGTATCCTGTCGACGTACTGGGTCAACCGGGCAAAAGAGTAAACAGGTTATAATGCGAATCAACAAGCATGCGTTTCACCCACTAGACTCGCCCATGGCGCAACGTCTTCTTGCCTCATAAGCCTCACAAGCAAATATGCCTCGATGCAAACATCGATAAACGACAGGTATCTTCGTCGTGCATTGCTCTATAACCGCGAGTGAAAGCAGGTGCATATACGTACGTGCTCAACATACTCGAAGAAGAATGACATGTTTGTTATCCACTCTTGACCATTACCCTGTTGAAGCGTGTCGCGTACGAAAAATGATCTTTCGGTGATATTCCTCTATGCAGATGCGATAGATCAAGTTTCCAGGCCAGTAGAGTAAGTCTACTAGCTTTGCCTACAGCAAAAATTTATTGAACCTGAGCATAGTGGGTTAACAAATCGTGTTTCTTTTGTAACCCGAAAAATAAGTTTGATGAATGCTTCCGGTTTTAAGAGTTTCTACGTTCATCAAATTATTATTATTAGTAATTGCATAGAGGCGTCTAATAAATTAAAGGTATTATTACGAATAAAAATCAGAGTTAATAATTACGAGTTTTACGCTTGATGCGTACAAGATTTTCCAGTTTTTAATTTTCTATGAAATAAACTCTTCCATGCGATAACTAAATATCTAAGTTACAGGATTTATGATACGTTATGATACGAAATGATGAGTTGTAAATATTTGATGTTTATGATTTGAATGGTTGATTTATAATTTGAATGGTTGATTAATAAAAAATTGTCAATAGCGAATGTATTGACATAAATAATATAAAATAGATATAAAAATATAATCTTAAAACATACCTATGATTTCAAGTAAAAAATGTAAAAATCATGAAATTAAAGCATCGCATAGAGATTTAAATTTTTAAAGAGACAGCGACAGATTTTTTATTATTTACGCTTATTTGTTTACTTTATGTTAACGGTATGTTGCTTGAATTATGTTTGCTTATAAGTCATGTTTTAAAATAAAACAAAATATGCTGAGAAAATTAGATTCTAATTAAAGAAGAAAAACAATTTCTAAAATTGCACTAGATTTTTAAACAGTTTGATGCAAGGCCAAAGTAAAACAGACGACTGTTGTGCAAACCGGTTACGAAAAAGAGGCTGTACCGCTAACGTGTGTACATAATATCCTGATTCTTGAAGACTGCAGTGGCGTTAATAGGTCAATCAATTGTTGACTTTTATCATTTGTTGACTATCGCATTTTGCTGGCTATTATATAATAGTCAATTTATAACATTATATACATATATTTTCTTATATTTTTTCTTATTTTTTTAATAATTTACAATGATTTTTATAACAAAAACTTATTTTTCTTTATATTTCAATTAACATTCGATATTAAATTTTGTCGCAAAATTAAAATTTTAAATTGAAATTAATTTGAATATGATATTTTATTATCTTAAATTAAATTACATTTCTGTATTTGAATTTATGAGAAATTCTAAATTTTTAATTAAGTTTAGAACAGAAATTTATTGACATCTTGATATTTGTTTGGTAAGAAAAAATAAGATTCAACATTAAAATTATACGGATTGTATCGGATGTGATTTCAGATTTTGCTAGTAGATGAGTATTTTCTCAAAAAATTAATTGTGTTCAATTTTACTAAATTTCCGCTATACCAAGAGATAATTTATGAATTATAACGTTACCTATTATTATCTATGTTAAAAAAAACTGAGCGACCGTTGCGGGTGGGTGCACTAGAAAATGTAGTGCTTCTACCAGCCATGAGGAATGTTGCAATTATGTGGAGAAGAATGTCGTGGAGAAGACCCTTCGTTAAATCTTTAAAACGGCTAACGGAAGAATAGTAATTGTTATCACGGTGACACGTGCAGCCGTTTGCTTCCTTTCTAATATAAATAAATTCGAGATATAGAATTTCTCGCTTGCTAATCGTGTGATATAAAACGAAAATATAATGTGCAATGTTTAATATGGTTCACCACTACTTCTGCAGCTATTAGTCTTCGTGAAATATCTTTCTGATTGTGTGATAGCTATTAAGCCGACAGTCGTGCGGCTATGATATACCGTTAAAATTATATACTTGTCAAAAATAAGGACGTATTCTTTCGAAGATCTTCGGTTCTAATGGATCGATCGAGCAATTAAATTAGGATCTTTTAAGATAGTTTAATTGTTTTTTTTATATACAAATGCTTATTAAATGTTTTTTTCTATTTTTTTTTTTTTGAAAATATGAAAAAGCAAAAAAATAATTTGCGAAGAATATTATATAATAATATTAATAAATCTATCGCAAAGTATCTTTGCAATATTGTTGGATAATCTTTCTAATATTCTCTTCTCAATCTTAAAATATCCGGTTTAATGTATCACGAATTTTATGGTGCGATGAGTTTGTCTCATTGTTATTACATAGAATTTCCACGACCAGCCAGCGACCATCAGCGAGTCCTCGAGTGTCTCTCAAGAGTTGTACCGTGTAGAATGCAGGAGCAATCTCTGTATAGCATTATCTAAGCCATGGACCGTTACCCCCACCGACCTAAATGCACGCCGTATAAATGGTCAGAACACCTTCTAACCACTGTCAGTGAGCGCGTGCACCTAATCTTGCTTTTCTGCATCATCCTGCATCATTCTGTGAAAAGAGTGCGCGATATTATGCGATAATTTTTCGTATCATATAACGTCACTTATGATTTTTTTTGATTACGTCATTCACTTTCGATGCGATGCATCTCGATGTTTTGTACAATTGATGAGCAACCATCATGAGTAACAATAATAATGACTGTACAGAAATTCGAAGCGAGATAGGTGATCATCACAATTCTCTGCAATGAAATATAAATCAGTTGATCAAAACTAACAAAATCCAAATCAATAGTGTAAAGTTAAAGTCATTGACCTAAATTATGAAGTGCGGATATTTCGGAGTTATTGAGTGGTCTCGCAAAATCGGATATCCAAGAGTGATTGAAGTATCGTGCTGGATGTTTATTTTATTGATTGTTTGTTCACGACGGACTCATTCATTGGCTTTTGATAATACAACGGATCTTTTTGTTCAAAAATGTGAAATGGAATGCAATTTAAAGAGAGATTATACAACTTGTGGCAAATATAAAGTCGCGAAATGGTTGAACACAATAGTGAGAGAAAAGGTACGTGTTTGCTGTTTGCGATTACATAAAATTTGATTATATCCCAAAAATTAGAAATAAATAATCCACATTGCATAATGTTAACTGTAACAAAAAACAATTAAAATTCAATTCTAATCTTAATTAATTCTGTATCTTGTTACAGTTCTGCAATCAATTATAAAAATAATAAATATTTAAATAATTTATTATAAGAATTAAAAACAAATTAATATATATATTTTTTTATAATTTTGATTTGATAGAATTATAACAAAATTAAAAAAATTAATTAGATATAAATAACTCTAAAATTGATTATATATTATTATACGACACATAACAATTATAAAAATGCATATAATATATATAAATGTATATAAATTTATAATTTAAAAAAAAGAATTATACATATAAATATAAATTAGTTAATTAAAGCAAATTATTATAATTCAGGAATTTAGTTACGGACCATTTCGAATAATAAGGATACCATCGATTTACAAGCAATCTTTTTTACCCTATTTGCCACGTTCTCAAGCATTTAAAAGTAGTATAACAGAAGCTCTGAACTTTGTCAGAGATAGTGTAGAGGATTTATTGACAAAACGTGCCATTGTATATACGATAGACAACTCGGCAGCTACTAGAGATGCTAGAGACTTCTCTTCGAATTTGATGTTTATGGATGAGGATGAACTTGAGCGGCTAAAGGATAGCAAAGAACCGGAAGGTAAAATCTTATTAGATCTGCTGAATAATAAAATATTTAACAATTTTTTTCTCTTATATTGTTTTTTACAATTTCTTTTTCTTATTATTTTTCGAATATTTTTATCTGTGTTAAATATAATAAACTGAATATTGTAGAGTGCTTTATTTTTTCTTGAAAAAATCCTGAAAATTCTTATAATGATATATTGATCTCTTGGCAATAACAAAGAAAAGGTGTACTTACTGTTCTATATAACGGAATGTTTTGATGTGTCCGAGCGTAATTATAGTTTCTATTGCACTTTATTTCGGATAACGTTATACGTAACAAGTAATCATTGTAAAAACTATGCAATCTGCTATAATGTGCTATATATTTGAAAAAAGCGATGAACGGCGAAATGGCAGAGTTTACTATCTTATATTTCCTGTAACGGCAACGATGTCAACAATTGTATAGTCTGTAATAATATTTGACGATTTTCGAGAAAGAGAAAATTTATGAATTTATTCGTTTTACAGGCGATTGGCGAATTTTCAAGAAGAAGAAAAATATTATCTTCCCCATTCTTATATTATTAAATTTAATAAAACTAAAACTATTGCTGTTACCAATTTTCCTAGGAGTTCATTTTATCAAGAAACTTCTCGTACTTGGATCATTAATTTTACCATCAGTATTTGCTCATTTAAAGATTTGCAAAGTGCAACACCCTCATGCGCATCATGCACATCCTTTTCATCTGTGGTCCACCGCAGCGGACACAACAGCAGATTATCCAACAGGTAAGAGTATTTTAAAAATATTTTTTGTCTTTGTCAAAAGTACTATGTTTTCTAAGCAAGTTATATATCAAATTATAGACATATATTTATTATATTTGGTAAAATTTTAAATAAAAACGAACGATGCGAAGAATAATGAATATTTAAAAATTGTGATTCTTTTATTCATTATATTTATGTTTAAAAATAATATTAGAAATTCGTTTTATAATAAACATTTTTTGTTTATTTTATGTTGTTAAGTTATATATGTTAATGTATGAAAAAAATGTTCTTATCAAATAAAAATAACTGGCACACCCTAGTGATAGTTTGCACGATTATATATTATGTAGGCTAAGTTAAGATAGCGTCGCTCAGCTGTAACAGCTGATACATCTTTATAGACCAATACATATGACGTATTTATGTTGGAATAAACATATTTGATATTAGCCAACAGCGACAAGTTACATTTGAAACAGCTATCAGTGTACGTTATATGATAGTGTTTTATATTTGACATATTTATATTTAATAATTTCTTTAATAATTTCTTTAATGTTACGTATCACAAATCTTTGACATCAATAATACTGAATCTTTTCTTTATACAAAATTTACACATCTGAATAAAGATCTTTATGTATCTATTTGTTAAAAACATCATAAACTTGTAATATGCATTTTAACATTTTCTTTGCAGGATACGGAACGGATGACAGTAATTGGCATAGAAACGATTATCAGTTGGGATATCCGAATTATCAAATACTTCGCAATCCTTACGGGTGAAAATATACCAGAATAATTCGTGATCATCAACGATAATATCGTATTTGTTATCTTTTGATAGAATCTTTCGAAGGCGAGTCAATTACGAAGCACGCGAAATAACACTTCAACAAGTAGTACAATTACGATTAATCTAATTGTGATCCGTGATCTTAGTAATTTCCCATAAAATTACTCATGGCAATCACGGTGAATGGATATGCACTGAATGAATGTCGCCAAACGCTACGCTTGTCTTGGCTACGCTCGTTCGTCGCTTATTCTAGCAAAGAACACTTGTGAAATAACTTTCACATAGTTTACCGTTATTTGAAGATTTGTATTGATATATTTTAACCTTTGCGCCTCGCGAGTTTTGAGAAAGAATAAGATGTTAAGGATCCGGTTTTTTCTTAAAACTCGCATTAACGCGAAAGAGCATAAAATATCTGTTAATTTTTTAGAACATTAATTTCTACAACTTTCTTCATCTTTTATCTCTTGTTTTATATTATTTATTATTAATTTTATATCAAAATGATATCGATAATATATCATTGCTGATTAGCTTTGATTTTTTTATAACTTGATGTTATTAATGAAAGCTATTGCAACTGCAAAACTAACTTTCTAGAAGATTATTTATACAACTGAATAACCAACTGCCAAAAAATGTTGCACTATTTTTTATTGACACTATTAAATTATATTTATAGTAAAGTAATTAAATTACAGTATAGTCAAGTGTCGAGCTCATCCAGGTAATCCAAGTTCAATTATCTTCGCTTGTTTTCTAATTATTTTCTAATGACAACATATATGGTTACAATATAGCGTAAACTAATTTTTTACCAAAAGTATTCGGCGTGCTTGTTTCTCATGGACCGTCTTTCCTCAAATTTCAAAGTGAAAATCGCAAAAGATCCTGCCACTCCATGGCAGGAGGATCATTTGTGGTCAAGGTCACTTGACCGAGTACGATGGCCCCTCTACTGACCTACTGACAGATTTGGACAAGCGCCCAGTTTGTAGCTCAAACGCGTTCACGAGCCAATTCGTGTGTCGCTGTTATGCGTCCGTGCGTCTACCTTGACCGTGTGTGTCCGTGTATATATAAACATGTGACCCATGCATGAGTCGATCGAAGACCGTTATTGACTCGCGGACAGTACACGGCGAGAGCCCAGTCATCGTCGACTTGTCGTCGACACATATTTTAGGCTCCAGATAATGGTTACAATTGATGAATTTTTTTGTTCTCACCCTTTCCCTTCTTCAATACGCTTTTCTTGACCCATCACGTGTTCATTGATAGGATTAATCTTAGTTTCGATGATGAAGTTTTCATCAGACTTTCCAACGCGAGTCTTTGAAGCCTAGTCTGACGTAAACCGATTTTTTTTCATAAAGAATTTTACATACTATTATAATTTTTGATATTTTTTATTGCAAGAATAAATATTGTATATCATAAGAGACGTGTTATAGAATAATAAAAAGACACGCTTGACTTTGATGGCAAGCGATAAAGTGACAACAATGCTTGGGCTCCACGACACAATAGGAAACGCGAATCGGAAGCGACACATTGCGCATCGCTACAGGATAGGTACGATCGATATGCAACGTGCACTCATCCGCGGCAACTCGACCGTTACGTTCTTACGTTATATACGAACGAAAAAGTCGCATTAATGTAACGGACCATCGTTCATGTCACGGCGTTCGATTTGCGTATCTACGTCGAACGTATTTCCTGCATATTGTATGATTCATATGTATTTGATTCATGCGCACGTATGACGAAGACGATTCTGAGTGGTGTGCGTTAAACCGGAGGTACTTCTCGAGATGCCACAGATGAAGTTCATAGAAAGCAAAGCCTCGTGAACAATTATAGCTCTAGCTTAAATAGAACAGTCCTTCCTTTTTCTTAAATGAATATTGTTTTTGCGGAAGTCAATCAAATTTATATTATGATGGACAATTTATCTCTAGAAAAAAAGATATTATTTCACGATAGAACTTTAATTTTATCACATAACAAATACTGTATATTGTATATTCAGGTTTTAGTACTGCTTGTAATTATGATATACACTATGTGTATGAATAAATTTCAATAAAATAAGAGTAAACGGAAAAAAAAATTTTGTAAATGTTGATCATTTGTTTCACATTTTAATTTTCTATCCTTTGAAATTTTTCAACGTTTAGTGAAACCGAGTTGTATGTTTAATATTATTTCTCATTTGGATGTGTGCGTATATGTATGCGTATATGTGCGTATGCGCATGATTATAGTTAAGAAATAAAATTGTAGAATAATTAAATAGTTTTCTATTTTCCTTTCTTTAATTGAATTGGATATTTTTAAGAATTTTTTTCCTTGTTTTATTAACAAATCAATGATAAAAGATTGTAACATCACATCATTCATACATACATCACATATTCATACATCACATGTTAATATAAAAATATTTATAAGAATGTGATTTTTAAAAATTATTTCCATGTATTTAAAGATAAATTATTTTATTTATAAATTCTTGATTAATAATTAATTTCAATGCATGAGTCAATGCATATGCTCCTTTTTGTTTATTGCCAAATATGAATATCAATACTTGGAAAGAATCTTTCTTTCTCTCTCTCTCTCTCTCTCTCTCTCTCTCTCTCTCTCTCTTTCTCCTTTCTAAAATGAAAATTATAATAAAAATAAAAACACGGAGAATGTATGTACAATATCTACGTTTTTAAGAAACAAGCGAACGATTCTATAGGTGTCATCGACTTAAACGTGAAACTGAAGCCAAAAGAAGTAACACACTGGCCTGTGTGACCTTCTTTTTATAAAGAGAATATATTTTTAAGGAAATTTGATCAAAAATTTTAGTCTAAATTGTAAATACTACAAAATGCCGATAAAAAGTTATAAATTATTATGAAAATATATTCTGAGTTTGTAAAGACAAAAAAACTGTGCATCTCATTTTTAAATTAATTATTTCCTTGCAATTTAAAATATTCACATAAAAGCTGCATTTGAATTTTATAGAACTATCACTAGTACAGTATTAATTTTTATGAAAAAAATTAAAATGTTATGTTTTGTTATTCCTTTTCTACAAGCATTTAGTAATTTACAGTGTAAAGTTTGTCGAACTATAAAGTTCTAAAAAATTTGTTTGACAATATTGATAACACTCTACAACATACTCGTAAAGATTCTTTTGACGTTATGTTATAACGGATTCCTTCTGTCAATGTCCATTAATAGTACTTTGAAACATGGTACACATATACCGTGATTACCGTCAAATGTAAATGATAATTTTATAATAATTGAATTATTTGTCATATCTACCAAAATGAATAAAAGATTGATTAATAATTTGTCGATATAAACGAAACTGAAAGTTATGTAAAGCTCCTTTTTCGAATGTCACAAATGTCATTATTTGGGATCGGTAGATTTCCGAGAAAACATAAGAGAAATCGTTTGTAAAGGTGTATAACCGTGATTGAACTCGTGACTAATTTGATTGGACTTGAACGATCTTTGCTGACATCATAATAGAAGATAGTTTCCATATGAAAAGTAGATCACACGAAAGAAATTTTAAAAAATCGCTACTTTTTACTCTTGACAATTAAACGGATATGGAGTAATCTTAATTAATCAAGTTGTCTTTTTGTTACTATAAAAAATTATATATTTCCTACAAGAAATTGTTGTAGAAGTGTTTAAAATCACATCCTCGTTCTAAAAGATTTCATTTAGAATAAGAGTAGATTTATTAATAATTTTCAATTAGTTAGGAAAAAATTTCGATTTTTTTATTGTATTGTACTTTACTCTTTTGTATTTTTCTTATTTCTCTTAAATAATATGAAAGCTTGTAGAGCACAGATAATCTCAAAGAAAAATATAGACTAAACCAACTCGGAGTTCTTAGATTAGCTTAGATTTATTGTATTTCGATCATCCCCTTATATAATTTAGCCTTCTGTTTGCTCTTTTTCTTGCTTTTCTCTTTCTCCTCAATTAAATTAAGATCTATTTATTAGCGAATTGTCTCGGAGAATCATCTTCCGTACCATTGAGCGGCATCTCGTCAGGCTCATTGAACTGGCCGAACTGGACATTCGCCGAAATACCTCCAAGTGAAATCGTCGTATGGAATATGTTTTCGATAATTATAGACCTACGACGAATTCAATTGATTAAATGAGAAAATTTCCGCCTTGACTAATAGTTATATTTGCAATTCTTTCTTGGAAGAAGGGTAGCTCCTAAACCGAATGGCGGGAACGAACGGACGAATGAACGAACGTGGTGAGCAAAGAAGGCGGAAAGGGGAATGGATAGAAGGATGGACAGACGGATGGCCGGGTAACCCAGATTGGGTCAGTCGAGCCGATCCTACGGAGACCGGCTGCCAGTATAGTATCGGACGTCGTACAGGATTCCGACTTTTCTGGCCGCTTGATTATTCAGGCGCGCGTAGTCGACCGGTCGTTTTTCAATATTAAAAGAAATCCGGTTACTGAAATTGACACCGATCACTTAGTCTAAGTGCGGGCAAGTTGTTGATGTCAAAGATATATTGTGAAAGTGAGTATAAAATCATTTACAATAAGAAATACTGACTAATAACTTTCTATAAATAGTTATGTGTATTTGATTGGTGAATGAAATTATGTTTAACATGTACATGCGGAAAAAGGCATAGACAGAGTATTGTTAATGAGATTGTATTAAAGTCATTTGGTGAAAGAACACTCGTATAACCGTACACTTATACCAGTTATGAATTCTAACTGCACACGTGCGCATAGTTGAATCTTTAAAGACTAAAGTATGACTTAGATTAATGTATATACATGTATATATTCTTTGAGATTTTTCATTTTTTACATTTTATCGTATTATGTGTATATATGTAAATATACACATAGTTTCTTAATAAAGATTATGAAATAAAGATTTGTTTGATCGAATTAAATTTTTCTTTATTTAATTTTATATATGAACAATTTAATTAACAAATATTTAAAAAATATATATACATTTGTTATTCTGAAAATTTGTTTAATCTGGAAATATGTATAAAAAAAAATTGAGATAATACAGAGAGAGTATTATAATTAATATTAATATAATAGTGCAATATTTAAGATTAATTCGAAATAAATTTTCAATAATTAGTTGTTGATTGATTTTAAAAAACATAATTTAAAAAAAAGTTTTTAAAAATAACGAATAATTTATGCAGGTATCGACAAATTATAGTTAAGTAACAGAATTGGTTTAATTAATCAATCACAAAGGTATAATAGAATGTTTAATCTTTGCATACAGTTCACTCGCATGAATAAAAGAATTAACTGATTGTTTTCGATGACACAACATATGAGTGATATAATTGAATTTTATCATATTTACAGAGTACTATATTATTATTAGCTTATTTAATTATTTGAATAACAATATTTTTTTATTAGTACTATTATGTATTTTTATTTAATAATTATGAAATCAATAAAATTTTCAAAATGTAACGTAAAAATCGATAGAATTATTAATAGATAGATATTAATAAATAGACGGATATTAATTATTTCCAAATCAATAATTTTATATTCAATTCATTCAATAGGTTTTCTAAAAAAAAAAAGCAAAAAAAAAATACAAAATTTTATATATTTTATATATTTTATATGTTTGTATCTGTATAAGGAAGTTTATTTTTCAGACTTTTAAGTCTTGTACTTATCTGTTTTTTCGGTTTCTCAATTACATATTTAATTTTTTATATTTGCGCTTGTACTGTAACAATTATTATTTTATACATTCGTTCTTAAAGTTTCTTATTCTTGTGTTTTCACTTATTTATCTTATTTTAGAAAACGGAGTCGCAGGTCGAGATGCAGTTCTCCTCATGTAATAACTATAGCTAGCCAATAGACAAGCGTCTGGTGCCTTTTTCATGGATTGGACAATGGCAAAAGGGAGGATAGCCATAATATTCTCGATTGTGTTCCTGGCTATTGCGTGTCACATTCATTCTGTCGTGGGGGTCAAGGTCTACGCGGAGGTTGCGTCCTTGAATGAGACCGCGCGCAACGATGATGATATCGTCGAGGAGAACGAGGTGCCGCTTTCTCAAGAATCTAAAAACAAAATTGACAAACTCTTGCGTGATCATCCGCACAATATGCATGGAAAACCAACAAAATTCGATATCGAAGATGATAAATCGAATTATCAGATTGAACCGACGAGAATAGCTAATGTTACAGCTAATCCAATTGAAATGAATTCATTGACCAGTCAATCTTTGTCAAATTCAACAGAATGCAAAGGAAAGCTCACGGTTTCTTGTATACGAAAGGATTTTTCGAACTTTTTGGATCAACTCTCGAGGGTTGATACGTACAATGTAACAGAATCTGTGCAGATTATAAGAAACCCTGAAGTCAACGTTACGTGCAACGATCGAAAGAAAAATGATACGGATTTAAATCTTTTGGATAAGGTTCATCATTACGCCAAGACACACGTGATGAAGATACAGCTGAATAAGGATCTCAGTCTCGCCAGGAAAGCCAGGACGTTCTTCGGTTGTGAGTTTCTAGACCGCTTGCTACAGATTTTTGTCGCGTGTGTACTAGTGCCGTTACTTTTGTCGACGCGAAAGGTGGATTTTCTGAAATTACGATTGTTTATATTGAGCGACAGTATTTTTTATTACCTATATTATTCGATGCTTACTGTAAAGCAATTGCATAATCTCTAATTGGTACGTAGTGAAAGTAATCGAGCAGTTTACAGAAAAGAAATTATTTCTTATTCTAAAAAATAACGCAATCTTTTCTATTTCCACCTTTCAACTTGATTTTCAAGATATTTTTATAATGCTTTTATAGAAATGCAGTTTTTTCAAAAAATTTTTCTTAAAAAATGGTTCTCTTTTTTTAAAAATGAATTATTTAATTTTTTTAACTACATGATAAGCGACGAATCTAGTACGCTCGTAAGCACAATCTGGCATAAATAAAATTAAGGTGTGAGAGAAAGCTTTAACTTCATGAATTGGCTTTTTGGAGTTAAATCAAGTAACGAGGTTGGGTCCACGCTAATTGGCAAAAATGCAAACTAAACCAGCGATAAAAACGGGTATGAGGAAAAACGAGGCGTGTAACATTGTGCGAGCAGTCAAATTAATTATAATTACGGTGAATAAAATTTTTTTATTCACACGTGGAGTGTGTGTTGTTTCAGCAAAATGCGTGGCACGTGGAGTTGGAGAGGGAGAATATGAAAAAAGATGCTGCTTGCAGCATGGCTTTCAGGGCTAACCGCAGGGCTTTAACGAGCTGGTACTTTTGCTTTCAGCCATGTTTCAGGGAAAGAGTACCTTTTTAACAGGATTCGGGCTTGGTTTTCTAGCATTTGGTCTGAAGAAACTGTTGCTACCCTTGTTCTTCGGCGTACAAATAATTAAGAGTGTGTTACTTGCTCTCTTCCTACCCAGTATCATCGGCAGTATTGGTAATATCGTTGGAAAAGGTACGTATTTTGCGATTAATAAATCTTATTACATATTGTAAATATTTCAAAACAATTTGTAATGATTGGTATAACTATCATTATATTTTATTTCTTTATCAAAGAATATGCTATATACACATACGTGTAGTAGACGGTAAGTGTCTAATCAAAATTGTGTATGACATTATTTAATGAAAAATTAATAAATTAATAAATTTAAAATAAAAGTTAATAAGTTCAAGTAGCTTTAGAGATTATAACTTTATTATATAAATTTTTATTTTTCAATTGAGTTTTAACAAATTTATTTTTGTGTAAGCATTGAAAGTTTAGAAAATTAAACAAATTAATATTACAAATTAAAAAATAGCATGTATATGTATACATAAAATGTAGAAATCAAGTCTTATTAAATGAATAATTTAATAATATTAAATGAAAATAAAGAAGTGAAAAATAACATATACGTATATATAAAATGTAGAAACCAAATCTTATTGAGAAAACAGTTTCTCCATAGAATTTCTCTATAGAAAATAGTCTTTTATATTCTTGCAAGAATTCATACAGTAGCATTAATATTAATTGAGAAAGTTGAACTGAAAAGTGTAAATACATGTTACGCATAAATTCCAGGTGTTTCCTCTTTCGCGCAATCTTCGCATGCCGCGCCCGTGGCAGCATCGGAAGAGAATTTCGAGTTTAAAGATAATTCTGATCTTTATAACGATGATTATCTGACGCGACAACCGGTAGGCACGTTACCAGCATCCGCCATGTACGACGAGAGTATGATGCAGACACAGAAAACTCCGGATATTGTGTCCCGCTATGGATTTGTCGATTCGAGAATATCTCACGCAAATGCGCTTTCGGACCGTTACTATACGCGACACGTGGCTGCACATGGACTTTCTAAACCACAAGATTTTAAGGTGAGCTTTTTGAATAAGTAATACACGATTTTTAATTGGTTGCGTTGGGTAGAGAAAACTGATCAGTAAGCGCTCAGGGATTCTTTGATTTGATTGATTTGTATACTTATCCAGCAAAAAACTAAAGGTAAGAATCAATCATATTAAATCATTGATCAGTTTTCTTTGTTGGACGCAGCCAATTACTTGTAGTCTGTTGTCTCATATATTTTCTTGTCACAAAGTAAATAAATGACTTTCAAGTCATTGCACTACTTTCTTTTTTTTTTTGGACTCGGATAATGCCATCCATACATTTAATAAGGAAGTCTAATTGAAACTATATAATTGTCAGCGAAACTTATTAATTGTCAGGATTGTTCTTATTAATATTTAATTAATGGAATTCTTGATTATGTAATAATAATAATTCTTATCAAATGATTGGAACTGATAGGATCAGGAAATGCATGTTGATTTGTACATGTCGCATGTCGCATTAATAGTCGCGCATAATTATGAAAGAATTGTTTGTTAATATTTGACTCAGAATGAAATAGGTAAGTATGCCATAAGAATACCTTTGTCTTTTTTTTTTATACTGGAACTTTTTCTCATCATCAATGAACAGAGATGACCGTGCTTTCTACTTTTAATATTATTCGACTATTGATATTGGTCATTGAGATTCACGTCATTGCGACCCACTTCTTTGTTTGCTTCGTTTTAACTCAATCGGCGCCTAGCTGCACGCGTAACGGATACAGTGATCATTACGTAGTTGTAAACACGCATATTGATTATTGGCGGTAGGTCTTTCATGAGATACCAACGAGCTCTTTGCTGTTGACGAACTACGATCCGTTCTACTCACCCCTGCTGTCACGTCTGGACGCCGTTTTCTCTCGCCTCGGACACAACACGGAAGGCTGCAGGGAGTACGCAGTGTGCGCGATGTATCGGAGTCCTGCGCGTTATGCGCCATATTCAAACCTGGTCTCTGCTCAGCTATCTAGGGAGTTAAACGAGCTCAGGAAACCCAGTAGCGACAATCCCGACGTTTTACGTTTCTTCAGATACATGAAATCCGCCAAGGATGGCCAGGATGGCGTCAAGTGTGAAGAGATTTATGCGAATTGTGCGAACGCTCGTGAAGATCAGACCTTAAAGCAAAATCAAGCGATGCTCGCGACGTATCAAGATATTAATAAGCTCGTTCAGGCTAGAAAGATCTGAGAACGTTATAATTTACTTTTGTTGTTGCTATTATTAATTGCAAACGTGATAAAAAAAGAAGAAGTGTCTCATATCGCTTCATCGAATACACGAGCTTTAGAAGCGGTGGTTTATAGTTCTAATTGGATGCAATCGCTAAAAAGATTTAGCGTTTGCTCTAATGCTGAGCATTCATAAATTTTGCGCGCAAGTAAAGTTTGTAGGTATTCCTAGTGGTGGATTATTACGGTCAAAACGTTCATTCGGGACTTCAAGATGCAAAATGCCAATTTTTTTCCACAAAAATTTGATTAATTTAAGACTAAAAACAATATTTAAATATTTTTGAAATTGTTTCAATTTTGAGTCTTAATTAACGTCTTAGATAAGAGAATCTGAAATTAATTTGTATTTGGGGCTCCTGAGACAGTTTTAATTCGCCATGTTTGAATCTTCAACTTCCAAAACTAAACAAACTTTTGATGGTACCATACACAGTTACCTAAATTATCATTTGTAGCAAGAGCGCGATGTCGAGTGTGTAAACGTTAGAATATGTAAAATCTTAGAACTTTTATTTTTTTTTCAAGAAATTAAGTTTATAATTAAAACGCATTTTGTGATTAGGATATATTTTTTAAGATTGTTAAAATTATATTGAAATTATAAATGCATGTTTTTTAATTGTTTACTATGTTATTTAAACTTAGTTTTAAAATATGTTTCACAACATTTTCTTACATATAAACTACTAAATTCAATGAAAGTGCATTATAGAAACAGGGAACATTTTACAAAGCATTCGATTATGCCGGCATAATTATGAGCAAGCTAGTATTATTATCCAAGTATTTCTTGGAAAATAGAAACTGTGTTGATACAATCAAGAACATCAATTTACACATAATATTTCGCTTTACATTACGAGACAAGTACATGTGATTTAATCTACTTCTCACGTAATAAAGCGATTTTTGTATGAAAATAGAAATGAGAATCTGCTTATGATTTTAAATGAAAATATTAGAGAAATTTATTTTTTATAAACGATCTTAAAATATTTACAATCAACAATTATGCTAAAAAATATTCTCATCAAGTTTAATTTGCTTAAAACTCTTGCAAATCTTAAAAAATTGTAATAAATCAATTTTTTTAAATGGATATTTATACAAATGAATGTTCGATAAATAATTTCATAATATTAATAAATAATCATTTGATGAGTTATGAAAAATACGACGTAATTAAGTTAAAATTATTGTATATTTAATTTATATTTATTTATCGAATATCGTGTACAAGATTTAATCTTACGATGGATGATAGTAACTCTGGATATTTATTTATTTATATAACGTGAGGATGAAGATGCTAATTTATATGTAATACGAGCGAGAAACATGTTGCGTAGAGCGTATGTGTATTTAGATTAACTCTAATTTTATTTAAAAATTGCGATTATTCCATTAATTATATTTATAAATTGATGTACAGATTGAGTACGTCAATAAAAGATGATTATGATGTCATATGAGTTTCTCCAAAGCAATACATCAGCATACGACATAATCAATTATGTAATCAAAATCCTATTTAGAACATAAAGCGATAAAAAAAAGAACGAAAGAAAAAGAATTTTTTTTAACTTTCAAAACATGAATTACAACAACCATACGGAACAACGTGGTAAATTGATTAAACCTTATAACAAACGAAATTCCGTATTAAACTATGCGTCACAGAAAAAAATGATGTTATCTCACATACATAGGAAAGTAATATAAATTAGCTTAAAAATCATATTATGACGATGAATGATAATGATTCAAGAACCATATTATGGCGCAAGAAAAAGAAATATGGATAATAAAAAAGAATTGGATTCCCTAATATGGCGATGACGCACGTTGGTTGTACAAACCGGAGATGAAAGTACGTTGACTTCTTCCTTCCTATGTCAATGTACCTTCCGTCTCCGTTTCTTGACTCTACCTAGTTCCGGTTCTTATTCTGGACACTACTTTCACTTTCAATTTTTGTAAATCCTCCTGTTTGCCGTTCTGGGAACGACTTGCGGATCCTATCCCCTCTCTGTATTCGATTATGGAGTACACCCATATAAATACGAAGATAGTGCGTGTGTCAAGGCGTCATATAACTTTTGGCTAAAACTGTGTTCAGTATGTTTTGTCAAATTCGTTAAGTCAATCAGTATTAATTATTTTTAAAACGTTTGACATTTTAATTTATATAAATAATTCTTGCTTTATATAAATAATTCTTCCTTTAGTTTTCAATTAATAAGGTAAGTTATAATATAATCTATAAAAGTAATTCAAATCAGTTTTAGTTTTTGTCCCTTTTCTAGCAGTTTCTTTTATCAACTAGTTTGAAAATTTAATTTCATTCTGTTATCAATTTTTGGTTTATTCATTGTTCGTTTATAAGATTTTGCTCATTGCTCCTAAAAGAAAAAATTCACCGTTATTACAATTTCTAATCATGTTATGGAGCAACAATTTATTTTGCAATTTCGCAACTTAACTTAAAGATTTGTGGTTAGAGAGATGACTCTAGAAAGAGATATATATTACTACTATTACTTAAGTGGAATGCGCGCGTGATCAGAAATTGGAATCTGAAACCCGCTTGCTTTCGTCCTTTACTTCTGATTGGTGCGCTCATCTAACGGCACTTGGTGAACCAGTACGTCGACTGCCAACAGTCGATCTCGCAGACTTGTAAGTGCTGTTTGAGAATCGCCACGAGAACGTTTTTTGACAAGGATGTCGCGTAAGGAATATCAAATCACGATAATATTTGACAGTTTGGTGAGATATCTGATCGTATTTTAACTTTTTGTCTTCTTTACAAATCAATAACATATTACTATATTTCGTTGTTACTATATTTTGTGTTCAATAGTCATATAATTTATTTTACACGTATATATTTAAAATATATGTGTGTATATAAAATATTTTAACATTGATGTTGTTATTGCAAAATAAAAGTGTTGTTACAAACAAAAAAAATAATTTATAATGATGAAATTAGTAATTTGCGCTAATTTAAAACGGCAGGAAATGTTAACTGTATCGATATGTGTGATGTGTATTTCTTCTAATATAAAAATATTTTATTAGAAATATTAATGATGAGACGTGATTGCAGGTGGTGTAAAGAAAAGAGTAGAATGCAACTGCAGCGGTTGTTGATAATTCTAGGAGTTCTTTTGGTATTGTCCTTGCTGGCGTGTTGTCAGTCTACCGGGAAAATTATTTTTCAGGTCAGCACTACCGAACATGAAGCAGATAAGCAAGGTATTTTAGTTTTTGAAATTATTTCTATTAAAAGACACGGATATGTCTTATATATATATATAATTGTGCCAAGTGTACACGTGATAGTCGCAAAACAGACCGGGTATTTATAAATAAATGTTTTGTTAATAACTTTTAACAATACTTTTAGTTATATATGTTTAATTTATTGCGCAATATATTCATTATCTAAACTTCACTATCTAATTTTTCACTATCTAATTTTTTCGTGTTACATAATTTAAATAAAAAAAATACATTTTTGACAATATTAATTGATGAAAATTTAAATTATTTTAATTTATTTTAATAAAATCAAAATTATATATAAACACTTATATTTTCAGAGAATCTTAAAGAAATTACATCACAGAGAGGATTTAATCCTGTTCAACATGTAGAAGATTTATTCAATTATATTGGTTTTGGAACTGGACGAAATGTTGATCCGTATTTGGCAAAGGTCAATGAACGTTGCTTAACTGGTGATTTAGCTGAATGTTTCAAGTCACAAGCGTTAAAATATTTTTCGGATTTTTTCGATCATGCTGAATATTCCTTAAATGATAACGTCCAAATTAAGCGAATGTCTGATCAAGTTGTAAGAGAAGTACATCGTCAACCGTATGAATATTCTAACGAACCTAGGTATGTTATCTATATCTTTATAGATATAAAAGTACACGCATATAATTATATATAATTGTATATATAGACATTTCTTTTTACATATAATGAATTTACGTGCGTCTAAGAAATACGTAAATAATTTTTCTAAATGTATTGATAATATATCGAGAGAATATGCTCCAATTATTAAATAAATACTGCGATTTCTAAATTAAAATATGTTGATTAGATCTGATGAAACAGAATGGGATCAAATGATCAATTTTATGAAAAGAAAGTTGGAAAAGTTTGTTAAAACAATGTCTTTCGAATTGACTATTCCTGAAGAGGAGACTGATCTCAATGATGTATATAAACCAAGATTTTTAAATGAAATCGCTGATGAAATTGATACACTTGAGGATAAGAAGGATACACTATTCTGTAAGTATTAATTTATTTGAAATTATTACACAAAAAATTTTCTTAAATATTTGTAATGATAAAGATATTTGAGAAAATATTTGAGAAAAATTCAAAAGCATAATACATATGCAAACGATGCTTGCAAATCCATTGTTAAGTCTGGGCAATCTAAATCATTTATCAGAAAGTCGATCAAAAAGAAAATTACTATTTTCTTTATTTTATTATAGCAATTATTAATTCTTAATTTATAATCACATTTATGTGTAATAAGTATGCAATAATAGAATGCCATTGTATATCATAGTCAATTAATTTCTCGGTTATGCAAAATTAATGAAGATAATATTTTTATTTAATATTTTTGTATATTTGCAAAGTTAGTTCTTTCTGTCAAATAAATTATTCAAATTACTAAAATATAAAACAATTAATTTAATAATAAATTAATAAATTAACTTAATTTAAAACTTAACTACTATGTTTATTAAATGTTGTTTAACTGTTAAAGCTATTTAAAAACATAAAAGCAAGATTAGATTACTTAAGTTATTTTAATTAATTAAATATTTATTAAAATAAATTTTGAATTTGTTTTAGCTCGTCATCGACTCAGAAAATTTCTTATACCCTTCTTACTTGTCGTAAAGCTTTTCAAAATGAAACTTCTATTATTACTACCTTTGATTTTGGGTTTGGCTTCATTCAAGAAGTTCCTTGGATTTTTGGCGATCGTCATACCTGGTCTAATAGGTTTCTTTAAACTTTATAAACCGTATCCAAGTTATTATCCCCCAGTATACACTAAAAACGGAGTTGCTCAACCTCATTATGAATCACATCCGAATTTTGATTATCATGGAGATCATTATGGAAATATAGATTCCTATGGTCATGATTTGGCATACCGAGGATATCAGCATTATAAATCCTAATCTTTATTGATTTATTTATTATATTATTTCTAAAAAAGAAACAGATTATAATCAAATAGTTAAAAATAAACTTTTAATTATGAAGATTATTTATATACAAAATATTTATTTTGATTAAAAAATGTATAAAATTTAAATTATTATAAAGCATATTATTATAAAGCATATTTTTTATTTAGTTCATATTCAACTAAGTTTTGCATATGTAAAACAATAACTTAAATATCTTGTATATATAATTGAAGCGTGAATGTGTAAGAGAGATCATGTATTTTTTTTTCAATAAAAATACTGAAATATAAACTTATTTTAATTTTATTATATTAATTTTATATTTATTGGAACATAAAAAATCTTTTTTTTACTTAATTTATATATACATTATTGTATATGTGTTTAAGTTAATTATGTATATTATATAATATACATATGTATACCATATAATAATTCGTTTTTTATTAATTTATCTTAATTAAGTACATAATTAAAATTTCATGTTAATATCAATATCATTGAATACACGTATATAAAATGTATATTAAAAGATATTCTATTTATATCGAAAAAATGTTTGAATCTTTTTATATACGTACATATATGCGTAATGGTATACAACTGACTTTCTTATTGTCTTAGTTTCTACCTATTATTCTTGCGCTACTTTTATGATATATGTTCGCAATTTCGAGAATCGATGCATAGTATCGCATGATATGATTAATTTGTTTGTAAAAATTATAAGAATTATCGCAATTGGGTTAATAATTATGATATCAAATTAAGCAAAGAAGAACACGCTTAATTGTTTTCTGATCTGCTATTAAAATGAAAATAACGCAACTTTATTATAAGCCTTTCTATAAAGTCTCTTCTAAGTGAAAATCAACTTAAGAATTTATTATTAAAAGGATAAGATAAAACTTCAGCAGTCTGTGCATTATAATATATAGATGTATAAATTAATGCTTTTAAAATTAAGATAATTTAATATATTTAAAATAAAGTGAATAAATTATAGCATTTGTTTATACTTTCTTGAATTTTAATTTATTTCATTAAAATTCAATTTAATATTAAACAACTTTTTAAATATTATTTTAACAGCCTTATTAAAAAAGAGTTCTAGAAATTATTTAAAACACTCAGGAAAGACTATAATTTTTGATGAGAAATAAATCTTTCGGAGAAAGATTCATTGTAACCAACTTAAGCTTTAATATATTTCATATTCGTTTTCACTATGATACTTAAATTAAATTTTAATTCTTTCTATTAATAACATAAACAAATCTAAGCTAGATTTTTATATCTGTAAAAAATGTGTATGATTAAAAAATAATATATTTTTATTTAATTTTTTGAATATATGTGCGCGCAAGAGAAATAAAAATTATGTACAAAAACTTATTGTTTGTAAATATAAAAGTTTATAGAAAAGGTAAATAGATATAAGTATTGTAAAATTTATATTAAATTAAATAAGATTAGAAAAAATGGAAAGACTTTCAATTTATGGTTTTAATTAATAATTAATTTATTATCCGGTTTTTTTTATCCGATCAAAAGATATCGTTATACCTAAAAATACCAGTTTGATAGTAGAATTATTCGCAGATAGCTGACTTTTGTCGAAATGTCTCTTTATAATTGCATGAAAATACTGCGTGCGGTTTTACACCGGTTCTCTCTCAGGTGCATAACGAGGAACTATCTTGTACTTACATAAACCGGTTCGATATGATTCTCACTCGCGATCCAGAGAATCGGATAGAATAGACCCGCTGACCAAGTGGCCCCGTTTGCTGAGATGACCGGAAGCTGTTGATCATCCCGCGATCTATGGAAAACAATTCGATAGAAATGTCAGTTTTAACCCTTCAGAATTGAGGGATGTTGAATTATTTTTCAAAATAATCACGGACTCAAAGAAGAAATGAAAATATATACACTAAAGTTACAGAAAATAATGATAGTAAAAACCAAAAAGATAACGAGAACGTCACATTAAATTATATTACACTTCCCTTCTTTTTAGATAATATTTACATCTCCTTTTTTTAGATAATAAAATATTGATATAAATAATAATGATTAAATTGAAGTAATCTGATGTACGTATTTGTAGTATTTTTTATATCGACTAACTTGTTGATAAAAAAGAAATTAATATAAAATAAAAAAAATATTACATATATAGATAAGGATGTTTTTTTATGATTATGTTATGAAAAATTTTCGAATACAATGCAAATATTTGATGGCAATAATTTGTATCTGACAGAGAAGATAATTTTTTTTGTTCCGCGATTACGGAAGTGAAAGAAGATTATGAGTGAAAGAAGATTATTAAAATATAAGCTATGGCATTACAATGCAGTTATTTGATCGTCGTGTTGCAAAGAAAACACAGTAGTACGTGCGAACTAGTGCATTTATAATAACATAAATTTTCCTAGATACTCAAGCATATCTATATCGAATTACCACCAAGGACATTGATGCTCATATGTATTGTAAGTGCAGTACAGCGAAAGCGATGCTCGCATATGCGTATGTAAAATGGGCCATCTGACTTTTCGGGTATTTTCTATTAAATTACCGGAAATGTCCTTGTAAGGAATGGCTTGAAAACTTTCTTCTATATACTTTCTGCATTTCTATCGGCGATTTCATTTCCTACATCACTCGTTTCAACTCTAAGTAACAATATATGACTGTACAGTTACATGCACTAAATAATAATTGTCAATGTATATACTTACGAATAGATCTAATTGTTAATGTTATGATTCTTCAGTTTAAATCATACTTTCATATCTTTTTGCATTATCGTACAATGATTCCAAATTATAATATAATTAATATATATATATATTAATTAGTGTGGGATTTAGACAGTTACTCAGAGATATTTACTCAAAACTTTATGTTTCATCGACTATCTATCTAGCGATGTTATTTGTAGTTTATGTATATTTTATAAAATTTGTATATTGGGTTGTCCGGAAAATTCGTGCCGACTAACCTATATAATTTAATAAATATATACTAAAATTTAAATTTTCTGCGTTTCAATTTTCCTTCAACATCAGCACGAACTTTCCGGATAACCCATACATTAGATTTATAAACTTTAATAAAAATAAATAAAAAAGCAATTTTTTTTTTTAATAATCATAAAGTAATCATTTAATGGTTCAAAATAATGATGAAATAATCTTACATAAAATGTAATTATATATTCGCATGTTAATATCACTCTACTTATTGTTAATTTTGAATACAATGTACATTCCGGATCCTGAATGAACAAAATGCCCGTTCGGAATTCGACGTAACGGTGCACGGAGCACCAAAACACTCGTTTGCGAGTGCCTTAGGTCTCACGATGGTGCCAGTTGCGTGGGGAAAGATCAGTTAACGTGTATATGGACGAGCTTTCGCGTCTAGGTCGCGACGTTAACCTCTGTACCGCGAAAGTCGCTTTTACAAGAAAACGGGTTGAATTCAAGAACGAGAGAGGCGGATGTGGTCGTTTTCCTCGATATTTTCTACGCCTCATTATCCATCCAGTTAACAGTATTCGATTTATTTAACAGATATTTCAGATTATAATATATGGTCTTAAACACCATTTCACCCAGCGCGTTTTACTGAACGATTATATTACATCTTCATTTCGTATTTGCATAAATAAACATAATATACCATACATGTTGTAACGAGATTGTGAAGATTATTCTAGTATTTAATATTACATATATAATGTTTACATATATAATGTTTAACATGATTATTTTAAAATTGGCATATCTAATATGCCAATAGTAAAATATATATTCGCATCACTGATTTTGTTTGCCATAATTATTACGGCCAGCATTTATTGCAATAAAATATTTTTCATCAAGAAAATTTACGGATTTCTTTGATGTTAAAAAGTTATATAAAATTATCTCATTACGAAGTGGATATCTTTTCATAGATTATATATCTCATCATCTCGTGAAAAATGTATTATACATAGATTGTATATCTTATCATTTCATGAAAAATGTATTTTGTCAGACAAGCTCAATGAGAAATTGTTTTCAATATAACAGTTCATTGTTATGTGTGTGTTTATATATGTGAGATCTCATAATTTAAATTAAACCACATCATATACATGATTAATTATTAAGATAATGAAATTTGATACCAGCTCGCATAACTCTTGGCAGTCGTGTGAAACGTGCCTCGCAATGCTTAGTTTAGTTTGTAGATTATATAGTTACTTTCTAGAATAATTTCTTAGCTCTATATACTTTGTCTGTTGTGAATCAGTTGTGTAACGGGTATTACAAGTCCGATAAAATATTAATGATCTTTGCTCATTGGAAAATGTGACTGAATGATGCCTAAATATAATAGCACTCAACTTACGTATCCGTCACATGTGACATGCAATGCGATAAATGTGTAATTGACGATATCTTTGCTGCTTGTCTCTTTACCTCTCTTTACTTTCCTCGGAATTATTGTAACGCAACGCGGCTTTCTATTCGTTTGCACTTTGATTTCGTTTTGCAATCGAAATGACGTAGACAGATTTACGAGTGAGTTAATGAATGACGAGTGAGCACATCCGATAGTACTTACTCCTCAATAAGAATCTTATTTAAGAATATCGGGAACAACGGAAGCAATAAAATTAATCGAATCCGAGAGTTGCCTGATTGTCATCAGACAATACGTAGGTATATATGTGTGTGTGTGTGTGTGTGTGTGTGTGTGTGCGTGCGTGCGTGCGTGCGTGCGTGCGTGCGTGCGTGCGTGCGTGCGTGTGTGTGTGTGTGTGTGTGTGTGTGTGTGTGTGTAACATTTGATTAGATATAACGTTGTCTACATGCGCATAACTATGCGAACGTACGTGTTAGAGTTTCTCCTCAATCCTGAATCCTTGTCATTCTGGAACAAACGTATATCCGGTGCATCTGCATACCGTCGCGCTACCGAAGTATGTTAATCTGATTTTATGCAATTGTTACGGTCAACTTTTTATAATTTTCGGAAAATTAATTAAATTATATCATAAGGAGAACTAATTCAAAAATCTATGGATATTAAATCCCTGTCGGATTACTCTGCTCCAGTAATTTCCTCGAACCGTGCTTGTTTATCCCAGCTTTCTTAGCATCTTGGCTTTCTTTCCTCATGGTTAAGTCTCTCTACCCTAAAAGTCTATGAGTGCGTAGAGAAGGATCGTGAAAAGACGCAGCTAGAGCTGCGATTAAGGTGCCGTACAAGTCGCACGCTCAT